AAGCCACTGCAATAAGAAGCCTGTGCACCACAACAAAGAGCAGCCCCCACTTGTCGCAGCTAGAGAAAGCCTGCGCCCAGCAACGAAGACCCAATGCAGCCAAAAATAATTAATTAATTAATTAAAAACTGCATCAAAGCACACTATCAACTGAGTGAAAAGCAACCCACAGAATGGGAGAAAATATTGGCAAATCATGTATCTGATAAGGGGCTAATATCCAGAGTATATAAAGAACTCCCACAAATCAACAACAAAAACTATAAATAACCTGATTTTAAAATGGGCTAAGGACTTTAACAGACATTTCTTCAAAGAGGATATATAAAGACCAACAAGCATATGAAATGATGCTCAACATCACGAATCACTAGAGAAATGCAAATCAAAACCACAATGAGATATCGCCTCATACCGTTAGAATATCAAAAAGAACAGAAATTAAGTTCTCAGCAAGGATCTGGAAAAATTGGAACCCCTGTGCACTGTTGGTGGAATTGTGAAATAAGTGGTGCAAACGGCTATGGAAAATGGTATGGTAGTTCCTCAAAAAGTTAAAAATAGAATTACCATAAGATCCAACAATTCCACTTCTGGGTTTATGGCCAGAAGAACTGGAAGCAGGAACTTGAACAGCAATTTGTACACCCATGCTCACAGCAGCATTATTTACTATTTGGCTGTTATTTAATAGCTAAAAGGTAGTAGTAACCCATGTGTCCATTGACAGATGAATGGATAAACAAAATGTGGTTCCCATGCAGCAGAGTATTATTCAGCCTTAAAAAGAAGGGAATTCTGACACAAGCTACAACATGGATGAACCTTGAGGACATCATGCTAAGTGAAATAAGCCAGTCACAGAAAGACAAATGTATGATTCCACTTATATTAGATACCGAGAGTAGTTAAATTAATAGATACAGGGAGTAGATGGTGGTTGTCAGGGGCTGCGGGGAGGGGAGAATGGCATATTGTTGTTTAGTGAGCACAGAGTTTCAGTTTGGGGTGATGAAGAAGTTCTGGAAACGGATAGTGGTAATGGTTGCAGAACACCGTGGATGTACGTAATGACATACAGTTATACACTTTAAAATGGTTTGGTAAATTTTATGTTATGTACATTTTACCACAATTTTTATAAAAATAATCGATTTTTTAAAATGAGGGATACATGAAGGCTCAGTACTAATCAGGTATTCAAGTACCAACTAAAAGTCCACTAGCTATTGTGCCAGTGGTGCTACGCGGCATGTGGAACTTCCCCGACCAGGGATCAAACCTGTACCCCCTGCATTGGAAGCACAGTCTTTTTTTTTTTTTTTTTTAACTTTTAAATTTATATTGGAGTATAGCCAATAAACAATGTTGTGATAGTTTCAGGTGCATAGCAAAGCGACTCAGCCATACGTATACATGTATACATTCTCCCCCAGACTCCCCTCCTATCCAGGCTGCCACATAACATTGAGCACAGTTCCCTGTGCTATCCTTGTTGGTTATCCTTTTTAAATATAGCAGTGTGTACATGTCAATCCCAAACTCCCTAACTATCCCTTCCCTTCACCCTTCCTCCCCAGTAACCTTAAGTTCATTCTCTAAGTTTGTGAGTCCATTTCTCTTTTGTAAATACGTTCATTTGTATCATTTCTTTTTAGATTCCCCATTTAAGTGATATCATATGGTATTTGTCTTTCTCTGTCTGACTTACTTCACCCAGTATGACAATCTCTAGGTCCATCCATGTTGCTGCAAATGGCATTATTTCATTCCTTTTTTATGACTGAGTCATATTGCATTGTATATGTATACTACATCTTTTTTATCCATTCCTCTGTTGATGGGAAGTGCAGAGTCTTAACCACTGAACCACAGGGAAGTCCGTGCCAGTAGATTTTAATGTTCAGCTACTTGTTCTATAAATGAAACACTTAAACTTATAACTATATATTACAGAAACAAGGGGTAATGCTAGGTGATATGTTTTAACAGAGCTAGAATTTTACGTAAAATATCCATCCACTAAATATACAAAGCATATGTTTTTGATTTGTATTCAACTCATTCATTTTATTTGAGGATTGGAATATGGAAATATTTAAAGAATAACTGCATCTTGAATTTCTAATTTGCATTCTGCCATCTTAATTAAGATCTCTGCTACATCCTAAATTAAAAACACATTTGTTGTAGATTTGAAATCTATAGTACAAAAAAGTTTTGTTTTTAAATAGCTAGTTTCTATCCCTCTAGACTGCATAAAGGAATTCTAATAAAAAAGGAACTTACCAGAGAAGAATGATTGGTCTTTGGCAAATGTGTCATCTTTTCAGAAGGAGCCAGTGCAGATACCTGAAATATTATAAAACTCTAATCAGCTTAAACATTTGCTCTTTTTTCTTTTGTAGCAGAACTTTTCCATAGTAATTTCTAATAAGAGAAAGATCGGTCTTTAAAATTGGAAGTGCTTTCTTTTGAGTTTTATTTAAAGCATAAATATCCACTGGTAAACCACAATGTTTTCCTGACATTTCCTTTCATGGTGTTATGATGACAAAGAACCGTTGTCACGAGACGACGAGAGATGAGAACAGTGTATCAGATCCAGTAAAACAAAGCACAGTTTTAAGCTTTTTTGTTTCTTTGGAGAAAAGATCATTTTGAGATTAAATTTTGATAGTCCATAAGGTGAATTTAGATCTTGGTGTCAATTTAAACATATTTAAAGGACTCTTTTAAGATTTTAACATATTGCTCAACTTACTGTGGAACAAAATAAGTGTAGTATCCTCTATGCCTTGGATATTCTTGTGGTCCTTTTTGGAATACTATCATTTCAACAGCATTAATATTTAGACTTTGGGGGTAATTCTAGCCACTAGAATTCTAACATTTAGATATGATCTAAGATTGGGGCGGGGGCAGGGGGGCGGTCCTTTCTAAGGCACATAAAAAAGACCAGCAAAATGTAAAGAAGCGTTTAGATATTTCTCCCTTTTTAACCAGAATTTATCTTCAGATTAGGTAAAGTTAACAATCAGTGTATCTCAGTTGAGCTATTCTTGTATTTTGCTGAAGTCTGTGGTTTTCTGGGTAGCAGAGTCACACTAAAATACCAAAGAAGCTAATAAGATGGGAGTATTAGTAATCAAGGTTGAAGTCAGTTAGGCAAAGTCTAGAAATACAGGCCAAACGTTTTCATAGATATTACAACTGATACCACATTTATGTACCTGGGTTATTTTTCAGATTATTAAGACTGCTCTCCAATAAATCATTACTATCATTATCAGTCAGCAGGGGCTGGGCTGGTAAAAATAGCTTGCCAGGTTAGTAGAATTTATTTGCAAGGAAATATATACATATCTATATTTCAGAATTCAAATATCTGGTTCTACTTCACATGCCAACTATTTAATAGCCAAAGAATGTTCTTCCCCTGCGTGAAAACTGACCCAGAGATAAGTATCCTCGTTTCCAAAAAAAGTACAAAGTGAAAGGAAAACAACATAAAACCATATCCCTTAAAGCAGGGATCAGCTGGCCGTCATCGTTCACTGCACATCTCGGAGGTTCACTGAGGAGCTGGCTGTCTCGGGGCTGTTTGGGGACAGAAGTCACCTTGGAACATAGGTGTCAAGACTCGTGGAGGAGTTCCTTCATTTCTGTTTGAAAATGAAATTGCCATCTTTAAAAAGTCAAGTCTTTTATACCATCAACACTTACTAACAGTTACTTAAAATTGAAATCAGTGGCAAAATGAAAACAAAGCTCAGGGAGAGAGGCGACATGGGCATGGACAGTCAACTGCACCCACACACATCTCCCAGGCTCAGCGGGGCCGGAGGGCGTAACCCAGCGTGAGTAACGCCACCAGGAATTTCCATTCACCCATTAAACAAATATTTATTGAGTAACTAGTACGTGCCAAGCATCATATTTCTTGCTGCTAATAGCCCTCTGAGTTTTCAGGTCATTTATTTTAAGGAGGGAAAATACAGTTTGCTATTTTTTAAACCCAAATGCTTCAACAAGAGAACCGATTTTGATTATTACAATGAATTGGACAGTTGTTCGGGGAAGTGGAAATGATAAAGCCATTTTCCTTTAAGATAAGGCTGTTGGGTCCAAGTAGCAATCAGTGCAACGTTTAACTGATTTATTACAATAGTACTATCTCTTTCCAGTAAGTGAATACTTAAAATCTACTTAAAGAAGATTGCTAGTGGGAATAGTCTGTTGGGTTGTGATGCTTCCTTTATTAATATATGACCCCACATTGAGATTCAGTAATTGCTTATTTTGGCCTAGGCAACGAATTCACTTCTTGCTTTAAGTGTGAGGGGACTGTCAATGCATAGGTCAATCCTATCAATATATTCTTCAGGTTTTCTCCTGCTGCAAGAAATGGGAGGGGCGGAGGGCGATGGGATGGATGGTTGACAAGAGTGCTGGTCAGGTTTGGAGATGGGAACAGAAGCTGTAAAGCACACTGAAGGACACATGCGTGGAGTGGGCCTCCAGGAAGTGGAAGCTTTCTTACCAGAGGCTTCCTGACGGTGGATCTGGGGTGTGGTCGAAGGGATTCATAGACTAAATATCGTATCTGAATTAGCCCAGATTAGTGTGACCTATAGGGCAAGAAAACCTTTCAAGTACCATGTACTGTTTTGATCATTTTTACAGGAGTGTTGGACTTTTTTTCTGCCAAAAAAGGACAGTTCTGGCCGTATTTCTGAGAAAACACTAGAGTTTTGTCAATCTAGCCTTATTTAGCTTTAGCTTTTCATTGCTACTGGGGCAAAGACTAAATCATTGGCTCGACAGACGTAAAGCATGTTATTCCACCATCTGGGTCTCAGACATGACACTATATTTTTCTTTTGTTTCTTTTCTAGTGGACTTTTTAAAAAATGAGGTCATCCCCTTATAATTTTGGTTTTTCTCTTTTCACTGTCATTGATTTCACAGACTTGTCCCCTTTCTGCCTTTTCCACCAGTTTACTTCAGTGTCCCCAGCAGTTCCTGAATTCTTGAAAACACCTACTGCAGACCAGCCCCCCACACGGTCCACAGCGCCTGTCCTCCCCACCAACACCGTGTCCTCAGCAAAGCCTGGGCCAGCACTGGTGAAGGTGGGTACCCTGCATGCACGCCGCTTTGAGCGTCTTTACCTTCAACTGTGGTGTGTAGCCCTGAGCACAGAGGACAAAGGCTGTGTCCACGTTGCCCGGCCTGCCTTTTAGCCTGAAGCCTTGAAAACAAAACCACAGAAGGACTTGCTCACCCAGGCCTTCATAACTGAAACCACCGCCACCTTCAACAAATGCCCTCTCATTCAACGGTCACAGAAGAACAGCACAAAATTCAGTCTGTATAAAATGACTGCAGCCGATGGTCACAGAAGAACAGCACAAAATTCAGTCTGTATAAAATGACTGCAGCAGTGCAGAAAGACTTTAGGAATCATTTTATCAGCAGTTCCCAATTCTGCTTCCACCCAGGCCACTAAGATGAAACAAACAAGGGAGAGAGAGACAGTCTATAGTACTTGGGATTCATGAATCTCACAAGCAGATGCCTGTAATGGTAATGTGATTTGGGGCTTTATACACAAGGTCAAACTCAGTGGTACTGCAGATATGTGACAGGTTAAAGGTTTTTGACAAGCAAATACATTTTTTTGATTTAGCAGATTTGGCCTGATACAGCTTGATTTGTTCTTCAGATAAGCTGCAGATTTGTGGCACTGTTCCATGCATTTCACTTGGTCAAAATAATTCAGTTAGAAGTTCCAAGGAAGATTCAAATTTTCAATATATAATACATTTTTTAAGTTTTTTAACGTGTATTTAGAACCGGTAAATAAAGGGGGGGGTGTTATAAACTGAGGAATAGTTTAATCATTTCAGATGTGACTTTTGCCAAAACTAGCAGAACACAGATCTCAAACTTTTAGAACTGAAAAAGGACCTCAGAGAGGTCCTCTCAGCACCTTTCAGATGAGGAGACTGAGGCCCAGAGAAGTGAGGAAGTGACAAGGCCAGAAGGACCCCGTCTCCGAATCCCAGTCTGGCCTTCATCCTTCCTTCCCAGTTAGCCATTGCAGCACTCCTAGAAGGCAGCTAGCCTGGGGCGTGTTCCTCACTCCCCTCGTCCCCAGGACCTGTGCTTGTCCTGACCTCCCTGGAGAGAAGGCGCTTTTGTTCATCCGTGTGCCCAGGTGTCCATGCCTTCAGGGCACGTACCAGTGTATTTCACCATCTTCACCAGAAATCCCAAAGGGTGGCAAGTGTAACTTTGCCAGTAAAATCAGCTCTTACCTCCTCTTCCCACAACCCCCAGCATGTCCCACCAATAGCACAAAGGGGGTTCGAATGCCAACCCGTCTTTCCCTGCAGATACTGAGAATTTGTTCGCTGCCTCTCCTGCTCTCTGAATTTCTGCTCCTCACTAGTGTCTGTCTTTAAGGAGGGCTTTAGTTCTAGAGCAAAAGACATTGTTTAAGAATGTGAGACCGAGGGGTTGAGTAGACTATGCTGGGAACTCTGCCAGTAGAGGAAAGGATAGGTACACATTAGGAAACAGACCACAATTCTTTGGGGCTTTTCTATGAGGAAAGCTATTTCCCATCCTCAGTCCTAAGAGCATAGACATGTGCAGGCTAACAGGTAACAGCCAATTTAGTCTGAGGAATGCTGGTTATTATATTTCTGTCCCCTTCTTGACTGTGTCTGGGTCTTGTTTTATTACATAACAATTATAGTCAACCCTTCTTAACCCAGACCCCATTCATTTTATGATCAGTCTGAAAAGATTAGAAATAAAATTTATTATTGATAAAATAAGCAGATGACAGTGAGTTGATTAATATTGTGAGACTGCAGGAGGAGGCTGTTTTAGCGACAAGAATATTTTCTAACATTGTGACGTATTTTAAGTGCCTGATAATTCAAGTGGTTTCTAACTAGCATACACACATTTATCAGTCATTAATTCAGCAGATATTTATAGAGCACCTTCTGTGTGCACCAGAAGGTGCCAGCCAGGTGCTGCTCTGGGTACGAGGAGTAGATAAAGCAGTGAAGAAAACATCACAGTACCTCCGCCTTGGGCAGGAGCTGGAGGTGAACAGACATAAAACACAGAGTGTGTCGGGTGGTGAAGATCGGGGATGGAGGCAAGGGGAGACGTTTCTGTTTTAAGTAGAGTGCTCTGGTCAAATAAGCAGATGACATTTGGGCAGAGATCTAAAGGGGGTGAGGGAGTAGCTGTGAGGACATCTGTGGGCAGAAAATTGAACGTCACTGAACAAGGAAGCCAGTTCAACTGAAGAGAGATGGCCAAGCAGTAAAAAGTAAATATTAATAGTGACGATTTCTGATATACAGAATATGGTGATTTTTCTTTTCTTCTTTATTTCTATTGTCTGGGTTTTTTTGCAATGTCCTAATTCTTTGAATGTGAACTTACATAACATGATCACACTGATGGCTATATTTAATTTAGTACTTCTCAGAGTTTTCTCACTAAGTTGGGTATTTTACCTAAAGCATCTTAGAAATAATCTTCTACCTTGTTGTTTTGTGCTGCTTTGTTTTGTTGGCGGACTTTTTTTTTTTCAGATGAAGTTATCTTACAATTTGAATACTAAAAAGTAGAAAGTGATCTGATAACTTATAAATGGAGGAGGTGAAAAGAACTCAGAAAAGTCTTCTGATTCTTAATCATAAGACAGGGTCTCACACCCCATTTTCAAAATAAAAATGTAATATTTTTGGAAAATTTTTAAAAAATTCATATTCACATTACTCAGTATTCTTTTTTCTGCATATTTGCCATAGAAATTCATGGCTTTATATTCTGCTTTATTCCCATTAGAAGCATTTTTCTGCTTTTACATATTCACCATAAATTTTTTTTTTAATGACCATAAAATATGACATAGTTATGGTGAAGTATACTTAATCTTTTCCCTATTGTATATTTAGTGTGAGACCTGTTTTTCACTAGGAGATAGTATATGTAAGTACTAGGCAATATCTACACAGGAGACCCAAAGTAAATGTTTGTTGAACTTGAATAGATAATGCTGAGCTGAGCATCTTGTCCTTAGTCTAAGGGACCAATGCATCAGGAGAAGTCAGTCCTTAGGAGCAAGATTTTTGCTCACAGGGAGTACTCGGATGTTCTCACAGCTCTTGAAACATATTTAGTATATTGCTCTCCAGAGCAGCGACACCGATTTCCAAGGTGCATTGCGTTTTCTTTTCAAATCAGTTAGGCACACAGTACAATGGATTGCATTCTCTTAGAATTTTCTTACTGTCTTTTTCTCGAAAATAGCAAAGCCATCCCAAGAATCCAAATGACAAGCACCGTAGCAAAAAGTGCAAGGACCCGAAGCCCCGGGTGAAGAAGCTGAAGTACCACCAGTACATCCCGCCAGATCAGAAGGGGGAGAAGAGCGAGCCGCCCATGGACTCCAACTACGCCCGGCTGCTCCAGCAGCAGCAGCTCTTCCTGCAGCTGCAGATCCTCAGCCAGCAGCAGCAGCAGCACTACAACTACCAGACCATCCTGCCTGCGCCACTCAAGTACGGGCTGGGGTCGAGGCCGGCTCCTTAAAGCGGGGTGGACTGTGGTGGTTGATGAGGGACCATTAGTTGCTAAAGGTTGGATGTTGTGATTTACTTGTGCTCAGTGATTCTTTTCATTTTATTACCATCAAAGCTCACACAGTGTCTGAAGCCAGCACAGTGAGAATAGCCTCCCTTCCAGTCCATTTTTTTGTCCTCCAGAACAGGTTCTGAACCTTTCAAGTTAGAAATGACTTTTCACAATTATTCATCCAGGAAAGATCTGCCTGTTCTTTACCTGAATAGTATTAGATGCTATGAGAAAAGCATAAAAAGTGTAAACCTGGTGGGCTTCCCTGGTGGCACAGTGGTTGAGAGTCCGCCTGCCGATGCAGTGGACACGGGTTCGTGTCCCGGTCCAGGAGGATCCCACATGCCGCGGAGTGGCCGGGCCCGTGAGCCATGGCCGCTGAGCCTGCGCGTCCGGAGCCTGTGCTCCGCAACGGGAGAGGCCACAACGGTGAGAGGCCCGCGTACCGCAAAAAAAAAAAGTGTAAACCTGGTATAACCAGTTTAAAAAAAAAGGACGGAGGAGCATAAAAGCTGGAGGCTGCAGTGGTCAGGGAAAGCTCTATGAAAAAGGCGGGATATTTACATGGGAAAGGGCCTGAACCTTGGGAAGGAGCCTTCCAAGCAAAGAGGAATGATCTGAGTGCAAGTATAGAGCCAACAATGCCTATTTATTACATGGTGAGGAAAAAAGGCCCGAATAAAGAATGTGGTTAGTTTTTAAGAAAAGTGGAAGACAGATTTGAGTAGAGCCAATGTCTAGAGGAACATGAAGTTGGGACGACTTTAATCTTGATACAGTGGATGTTTCAGAGGGCCACAATGACATGGTAAAATCAAAATGCATGAAAGAACAGTTTGACACCAGTATTGGAGGGGAGTCTGGACATAGGAAAACCAGTTAGAAACTCTGTGATAAAGTAGATGCAAGAAGTTGAAAGGGCACTGATAATGGGAAGGCAGGAACAGGTGACAGATGTTTCAAAAGACAGTAAAAGGTCTTGGTGAGCGATAACTGTGAAGAAGGAACATGTTTCCAAAGTTTGAGCCCAATCAGGAGGGACAGAAGGGGGTAAGTTCTGACGATTTCTGAGACTGAATTCATAGCAGGACATGCACAGCTAATTTTAATTATGTACTAGAGGAAATCTCTAGATAACAAATCCTCAGTACACTTTTCTGGGAAACAGATAAAAATGCAAGGACTCTGTCCTTCATTTCATTCACTTTTCAGGAAAAAGGAATATTTACAGTCAACTCGAGAAAAGGAACTTTAGAAAAAGATCCAAAATCTCATGACAGGGAAAAATGATACTCTGTGATCCATGCACTCAGTTTATGATTACATGATCTATAGAAGCTTTACTTCTGTTTTCCACACGTAGGCTGAGCACTCCTCCATGGAGAGCCCCTATTTTCTAGGAGTAGAAAAGGATTAAGACTTACTAAAAAGCTCCTCAAGAAATATCTCCTCATACGCTAATAATTAACAATTCACTTTTTCCTTGTAAGATACAAATATCTTGAGGAAGATTAGACCTATTAGTCATTCAGGCCTTCCTGTGAAGTACTTAAATCGAAAACACCAGGGCACAGAGATGAAGGAAGAAAGAATTTTTGTAGCATGTTATTATTTTAAGAGCAAGCAGGCCTGAGAGAGCTGTTGACATTGGAAGGGACCCAGGGAAGGCCAGAGAACTGGACGAGTATCAAAGACAAACCACCGCTGCTCTACAGCTTCATCCAGGACCCGGGGAGGCGGCCCCCACCGTCACCACCACTGGGCACCAGTGAGGATAACGGCAACGATGGCTCCCGTGTAGGTGCCACTCTGGGTGCCTGAGCGTGTGCTCAGCATCCCCCTCACAGTGACCCTCAGAGGAGTTGATGTTATTCCTGATCCCGTTCCCAGATGAGGAAACTTAACTGCAAATCCCATAAAAGGTGGTGTCTGTCCATGAAATAGTCTTTTCTGTAATGCAAGAAATTGTCTGTATGGGGCCAACTTTGTAGATGGGAAGAAAACATCTGAGGTGTGAGGTACCTGAACTCTGAAGTTCTTTGTGTTTCCGTGAAGGCTTCAGTCCCCCTCTCCTCCTCAGACATTCCTGCCACTGAAGTAACCAAGCCTTCTGCCCCAGGAAGGCATCATCCAAAAAGATCCAAGAACTAGGAGGAAGAAGGAGCCCTCATTTTTGTGTCTTATTGCACCAGCCAAAGAGGGAATGCCTGTTTTGTTTAATTTCCAGGTCCTAAAAATGGAGATGTTATTTTCTAACACATTGTTTCTTTTTACCGAAATTCCATACAAGAAACTGAATGTGGCAGTTCTCTAGTGCCCACAGCGGTGGAATTTTACTGATAACACAGCCCTTTGGTATCTTGGAAGAAGCAAGAGCCTGAAGACATGGGGTCTTAGTCCCAGAGTGGCCACACGCTGACGGAAAGGAAGGGTCCTGGAGGGTCTCTGGACCTCAGGATCCTCAGCTACACAGTGATCACATTCATCAGGCATCCATCCCCCTTTTTTCCCTCTGGTTGATTAGGGAAAAAAAATAGACCAACTTATTTCAGTTATTTTAAAAGTTGAATTCAACACTGTACTGTTAATCGTAGTAACAAGTAGAGTATTGTAGAATCTCAACCAAAAAGACAGCATGAATAGAATAATTAATTTAAATCATGCATTCTCAAGGAGAGCCTATCATTCGCAAAGGAGCAGAAGTTCCTTGGAGGGAATTTTACACTTTTTATTTAATAAAGAATAGACATACATACATAGTATGTGGACAAAAGTGCAGTACATCTACGGTATTAAAATTTCATAGGGAGAGTGATTAGGGAAAAAATGTCTAAAAAGGCTTCTCGGGGGGACAATAATGAATATAAGGCTGAGAAACAATGATTAAAATGAAATCTTTTTGTAATTCTAAAATAAGATTTAAAAGTTGAATTTTTAGAAAGAATAGTGATACATTTTCAAATATTTGTCATTTCCTCCAAACTTCAAGAAACTTCATTTCGAATACTTCAAGTATTTAATTTCAGCAAAATGCAGTCAGGTTTAAAAAGACTCAAATGTATGTCAAGAATTAGCTGTTGACAAGGCCAGAACTGGCTTCAAACACAGGCTTCCTAAAACCCATTTGAGAAAGCTCATCCAGCCATGGACCTCGCCCCATAGGCACCATGACCTAGATCCCTATTTCAAAACATGGAATTCAGGGTCTCTTTGGCTTCAGTACCAAAGCTCACACTGACAGTGAAGCCCGAGGCTGCACTGGAATTGGCTGTACAGTATCAACCACCATGTGCACCTTTCTTTAATGAATATCAACCAGCCAGAAAAGGAAATGCCGTTGTTGCCAGGAGTATTACAGTCGGAAGGGGTCGGGAGGACCTGGCTTTGACGTGGAAAGGAGTTTCGGGAAATTAGTGCAACAGATTCACCAATATTTCTTAAATAAGCTTTTAAAAATGTAGTGTATGGTAGAGAAGTCCATAAATCATAAGTGAAAATGGATGCCAAAGGAAGCACACTCCTGTAACCACCTAAATCCAGAAACGGAGCACTGTCCGTTCCATTACCACTACCTTGCATCCCCCGCAGTGACTGTCCTGACTCCTATCCCATAGGTCAGTTCCACTCAACATTATGTTTGTGAGATGCATCTTTCCTGATGCAGACAGCAGCAGTTAATTTTTATTGTTGTCTGTTCTGTAATTCATACCTAATGAGGTTAAGCACTTGTTCACATATTTATCGACCATTTGGATATACTTTCTTGTGATATGCTTGTTCACGATTTTCCCAATTTCCCATTGGGCTTTTCTTTTTCTTACTAATTTGCAAGACTTCTGTGTGTATTCTAGATGAGGCTTTTGTCAGAAGTACGTATTACAAAATCTTCTCCTGGGGCTTGACTTTTCACCCTCTGAAAGATATCCTTTTTAGTGAGTACTTTTTGTGTCCTATCTAAGAAATCTTTGCTTATCAAAGGCTATGAAGATATTATCCTAAGTTTTCTTCTCAAAGTTTGTTTTCCAATTCACATTTAGGTTTTGGGATGGTGTGAGGGTAGGGGTTGATCAGAAGCCCTGTTCTGCTCTGTGTGAATATCCAATTTAGCCTAATTAGCATTTATGAGAAGAACCACCACACTGCAGTGTCGCCTTTGTGATGACTTGAGGGTCCTTGTACTTGGGGGTCTGTTTCTGGATTCTCTGATCTCTCCCATTTGTCTGTTGTTCTGTCCTTGCATCAGCATCACCATAAATTTTGATATCTGGTGGTATGATGCTTCCAGCTTTGCTTTTTTACTTCAAAGTTGTCATGGCCGTTCTTGGTCCTTTGCATTTCCATATAAAGCTTTGAATCATCTTCTAAATTTCTACCAAGCAAGCAAACAACACACAAAACCTGCAGGGATTTTGACTGGGGTCAAATTTGACTGACGTCTCTACCATATTGAGTCTGCCAATCCATGACCAGGTATTTTTCTCTTCGTAAGTTAACAGATTGTTAGCAGGAGCAATGTCAATCCCAGAAATTATGTTATTAGAAACTCTAACTTTCTTTTTCCTTTGAAGGCCACTCAATGACAAGAATAACAACAGTGGGAATCCAGCTTTGAACAACACCACATCTAACACACCAAGACAGAATACATCTGCTCCTATGAGAAAGCCAGGGCCTCTGCCTTCTAGCTTGGATGACTTAAAGGTGATCATTGCAAGTGGGGTTTCTTCACCCATAAGTACCACAAAAATGTAAATGATTTGCCAGATTTGCCTAGCAGGTGTAGGTAGCTCCTAATAGATATTCACCTTTACCACCAATAGGATAACCTTTATTAGAGGTACTTTCTTTCTGCGTCCATTAAGTTTCCTTTAAAGTGACCAGGAATAAATCTCCACTTATTGAGCAAATGCCTTGTGCAAGCACCACACCACTCCTAACTCCAGAAGCAGATTTTTTTCTTCCCTATTCGCTGCCAAGTTCGGGAGAAGCAGGAAAATGTAACAGTTAAGAACACGATCTCCAGGGCCATCCTTCCTGGGCTCTACCCCCGCTCAGCCTTCTGTTATCTGCGGTAGCTTGCACTAGCGATGCACCCTCTCCCCATCTGTAAAACGGGAATCATAATACCTGGACCTCATGTGAAGAGTAACGGAAAGAGTAAAGCACTTCTGGCAGTGTCTGGCACATGGTAATTACTCAATAAATGTAACTGTTAGCATCATCATTTCTGGTAATAAATCTTCTGATATAGTAAAGGAATTACCCTCTAATAACCCTTGCTTTATCACTGGCCTTTCGAGTCCTTTAGGTCTACAGCTCTGTGTGTTTTTGTGTGTTAAAAAAAAAGAAAAAGGAACTGTCCCACTTTCATATATGTAGTAATACGGAGATGTCTGACAGATGTAGGCACCTTTTCCATCTCAAAAGTGCACTGAAGGTTTGTGAGAAGGTCATAATACGAAAAAAGAGATCTCATTTGTTTGTACTTCAGGTGTCGGAGCTGAAGACAGAACTGAAGTTAAGGGGTCTTCCGGTGTCAGGCACCAAACTGGACCTCATTGAACGCCTGAAACCCTACCAGGAAATGAACAGCGGTGGTGCTGCTACCAGTGGCATCGTGGCCCTGTCCACATCTGCCATCGTCCCCAGTAACCCGGAAGTTACCATGGCCCTGCCAGTGACAACACTGCAGAACTCTGTGAGCAGCTCAGGCTCCACTTTCAAGGGAGAGCTGCCATCCGCTGGATCCAGCAGCACAGCCCACGTGGACAGTGTTAGCTCCCCGCTGCCCATCTCACCCGCACCCTCGGAACAGTCCAGTCTCAGCGCCGAGGACGCGAGCGTGGCGGACACGTTCACCGAGATCATGACCATGATGTCCCCGTCGCAGTTCCTGTGCTCGTCGCCTCTGCGAGCCACGAGTACGGAGGACAGCCTCAGCCCCACCAGCAGCACGCTGTCCACCCTGGAGCTCGACGCGGCCGAGAAGGACCGCAAGCTCCAGGAGAAAGAGAAGCAGATCGAAGAGCTGAAGCGGAAACTGGAACAAGAGCAGAAGCTCGTGGAAGTTCTGAAGATGCAGCTGGAGGTGGAGAAACGAGGGCAGCAGCAGCGGCCACTGGAGCCCCCGCCCAGCACCCCGGCCCCTCCAGTCCCCAAGTCAGACCAGGCTCGGGGCGGCACCGCTCCCGCTGCCAAGGACGAGGCCCTGGTCCCCGACGGCCCCAGCCTAGTGGCCGGCCAGACCCTCGTTGCCAAAAAGGCCATAGTGATCAAGCAAGAGGTCCCCGTGGCCCCGGCCGAGCCACCAAGCCTCGTCCCGCAGTTTTACGTGAGTTCCCAGGGCCAGCCGCCCGCCGGGGTGGCTCAGCCACAGGCTTTACTGACCACGCACACCACGCAGCTGCTGCTCCCCGTGTCCATCCAGGGCTCCGGTGTCACCTCAGTGCAGCTCCCAGTAGGCAGCCTCAAACTCCAGGTGTGAAGTGTGTCTTCTAACTCCTTTGCCTTACAGTTTGCATGGACCAGGAATTGCTTATGGAGATTTCAGAGCTGAGCTGCTTCATAAGTGCAGCCAAGTCAGGCTTCACGGTTGCAGGAAATGTGTGCACGTGTTGGGGGGTTATTCACAAACGCAAACAGCTAGCACTGTTTTTATATAGTAAAAACAAACAAAGGGTGCTTTTCCCTTTCTGCTGCCTTTCACCCCTAGCACAGTATTATTATGTGTAGACATTTTAAAATACCAGTGGCATTCTCATAATGATGACAGCTACTGTCCTGAGTGTTCTAGGCACAGCATCAGATACTTTAGATGGCATGCTTCATTTAATCCTCCCTTCTCCCAGAAGACCCAAGTGAGAAAGCCCCCTTCTAGAAAGGAAACCGAGGGCTTCAGAGGTTTAATAAGTTGTCCAAGGTCAGAGCTGGCACTCAAGCCGAGGCCTCAGACTGCAGAGCTCTCGCTCTCACGCCCACTCCTGTGCTCTGCCTCCTAAATGTAGTTCTTAAAAGCCACCGCTGAGGTGAAGATGCCTAAACTAAGGAGAATGCGACCACAGATTCAGGAGTGAGGCTGGTGTTGAGAAACGATGAAACACTGGTGAGCATGAAGTTTACTTTTATGCCAGCATTGCCTGCAGCCATTTCTGTGCAACTCGATTATGGAAGGTTTTTTTCAAACAAAATGTGGGCCACGGTACACAGAAACCATTTGGAGTCCTGCTTCTCTACCCTGACCACCCAGAGAGGAGCAGTCTTGTACCCCCGGGCTTAGGAGGCCTGACCCAAGGGCCCTCGGCATGTTCTGAAGTCCTAACTCCCCTGTTTCATCTTTAGAGTGTCTGAAACTGAAAGTCTGCTCTGTGATACAGCTTTCCTAAACATTTGTTTTCCTGTCCAGCTCTTCCACTAGAGTTGATGTTCGAGGAACAGGAATTACGTTTTATTCTGGGCCTGTGAGCGCCCAGCCCGTGGCTGGCTCTCCCATAGGGAGCACATATTGCAGCTTAAAAGCAGGAATTTGCACAGTCAGGCCTCACAAGTTTCCTTGCTGCTATTAAAATTATTATTATAACACCTGACCTATATTATGTGTAGAGCTGCTGTAGGTTCTTTTGACTTCAGTCATCTATTTTCCCCAAATTTTCAAATGAAAATCTTAGCCACTTACGAAACAGTAAGAGCATGGAAATAACTGGTCTGGTGTTTAACTCTCTGGTTTCAAACAAAGGTTCAAATTTATGTGCCAATGAATTGGAGTGTGTATCTATAAACATTTCATCTTATTTTTTTTTTAGATGTGATCCCCAAGTGACCAGTTATTCCACATCTAAACTCTTCATTCTAACCTCGATTTTGACAATTCATTTGATTTTTTTTTTTTTCCCCTCCTAGACTCCACCACAAACAGGCATCCAGGCTCAGCCTCAGATAGCAACTGCCACCTTGTCCTCAGGCCTGGCCCAGGCTGCACCTCAGAAACAAGACACTTTCACACCACATGTGCTCAGTCAACCTCAGCAAGTCAGAAAGGTTGGTGGATGCTAATAAGTGACAGACTGTTGCTGATTTTTGTACTGTCATCCGCTGAACGTTCAACAAGCATCTTTATAGGAGCCTCCTCCGTGGGAAGCTCCTGTTTGTTCTTTTCTGTGATCCGTCTCCCACCGGGTTAGCTTTGGGTTAGATGCCATTTGGCTGCAGAAAGAGTTCTTTATTACTAAAAGATAGCTCATCTTAACAGTTAAGCCCCTTTTCCAAGAAAAGTTTCAAAACTATTTTTTCAATCCTCATATATAGAATTTTCTAGGTTTTAAATTTTCTTTTCAAAGTAATCATTTTGTGGGGGGAAGAAAAGTGCCCTGGGAAAAGGTATTTGAAGGTGAAAAAGACACTTGTTGAATTGTTTATCTTGAGTGAGATCTTTACATATTTTTAAGAGTTTGCCTTCTCAGGGATTAAGAGCCAGGCGGCCTAGGTCTGGCTGGCATTCTGGCTCACCACTTCCTCTGTGTTGTGCCTTATGCAGGATTCATGTACCGTCTGAGTGTCATTTTCCCCATCTTTAAAATGATGGTGCTGATCTAGGGCTCAGTGTCCTCTACAGGACTTCTACTAAGAGTTCTGCTGAAGAGCCCCAAAAGTCACCCAGACTCCCTCTTATCCAGTAGGTGGAGCTATGTGCCCATCTCCTCGCCAGAAAAATCTTAAGGCCTCAAAAGTAGATCTTACTGTTTTAATCCTTGAGAATGATTAATCCCAGAGTTTTAATCTTCAGTGTAAAAGAACCTCGATAATTAGGTATACCTGTAGATATGCCCCAGGCTGGCGTGAACCCTCTGGGCTAAGACAAAAACAACTTGAGGAACAGACAGAAATGACCTCTTGGGACAGCGACAGTCACGTTAACACACATGCTGTCTTGGAATCTCCTCTGAGGAGTGCAGTGAGCAAGGAGTTAGAGGTGGGCCCAAAAATAACAGTTCAGTAAGAAACTTAGTGAATATTCAAATGGTAAGACAGTTTTCTTTGAGGGAGGAGAGAGAAAACATATAGATGGGTAAATAAGAAGAATATAGTTATAGAACTTATCACCCAGAGAAGTTGTACTGTTTGGGGGGATACACACACACACACACACACACACACACACACACACACACACACACACTTTCATGCTTAAGGAATACTTATACACATTTACAGTAAAAAATATATAGTTAAGTTTTTCTCTTTCAGAATACTAGTAGTATAAAGTATATTAAAATTTTTATGAGCAAACCAGTTCTGTGAAATACAGTTACAAAATCAACGTTATGGCCATACATTTGCAACAGGCCCTAAAACCTTTGGCTCTTGATGGGAGCTAAACAACACACTTTGTAATTCCACAGGAAGAAGTTCTCACCTCTGCCTGACAAAGCAGAAAACAGCTTCTCAGAAGGGGGCAGATTTTAAATGAGGCCTTGCAAGGATTTGGAGAAATTTTCAGAAAAGTGGAAAATTGAGTGTGGCCACAGCACGTGTGGCCTTTCAGTTAGGATGGAAAAGGGGCCAGGTAGTGAGAAGGTTGACATGCCAGCCAAAGATGAGGATTTTACCCCAAAAAAGAAGAGCCAGTGAGTGTAGGAGGGACTCGATTGCAGCTCTGTGTGTGTGTGTGTGTGTGTGTGTGTGTGTGTGTGTGTGTGTTGAGACTGTCATCATGGCAGAGGGCTGACAGGCAGGTAGGCGCAGGTAGACAGCAGTGGCAGTTTTCCAGTGATGGATAGTGAGGACCCGGATCAGGACAGCAGACCACAGGTCCCGACCCAGGAGGTGTGTCTGAGACGTGTGAGCGCTGAGGGCTCCCTTTACCTAAGTTTCAAAAATAAATAAAGGCAAAACCAAGAATTATTTTTGCGCAGAGGCTGGGGGCAGTGGGAAGAAAGGGGAAAGTTTAATTTGGAACATATTAACTTTGAGACGTCCCAAATGCGTGTTTGTAAATGTTACAAGTGTGGCTTTGGCACCTGGGAGCAAGGCTGGAAGAGAGAGGTGGGCTTGGCAGCTATGAGCGAAAGAGCCCTGAGAGCAAATGAGGAGAATCATACTGAGCTTGCCCACAGCGCACTGTCCCTGCTGCTGTCCACGACAGAGACCAGTGACGCTAGGGAATCGCGGCCTGTGGGGGCCGCAGGGCAGGGCAAGCAGTTACAGCAGCTGCTCACAGCGCCCGGCCCTAAACTATATGCTCCGTGGCTTTCACAGAAAGCATTTGCCAACCCCTGTTCTATTTTTTTTTTTTTTTTTTTGGCTGCACTTGGGCTCTAGAGCGCAGGCTTCAGTAGTTGTGGCGCACGGGCTTAGTGGCTCCGCGGCATGTGGGATCTTCCCAGACCAGGGCTTGAACCCATGTCCCCTGTATTGGCAGGCAGATTCTTAACCACTGCACCACCAGGGAAGTCCCGAACCCCTGTTCTAAAATGTGGTTTTCTTTATTAGGAAGAGCAGAAGAACAAATTGATGATGGGCAAATATTTATTCATTACAGGTTTTCACAAACTCAGCATCCAATACAGTTCTTCCGTATCAGAGACCACCCGCTCCAGCGGTGCAGCAGCCCTTTATCAACAAGACAAACAGCAGCATCCTTCAACCCAGAAGCACGCCACTTCCGTCCCTGCAGAACGGCCCCAACCCTCCCAACAAGGTAACCCAGCCCACGGGGCAGCGGTACCAGCACATACAGGGTGCAGGTTCATCCCAGAGTCCTGGGCTTCAGGCCTGGACGGCCGAGTGTCGGCATTAACAGGGGGAAACAGCCGAAAGTCCCGGGATAGTACTTGTTCCGGGGCAGCTTAGCCGTCAGCACAGTGCGGGTGGCCCGGCCCGCCGGCGCCTCAGCCTCACCCCCCAGGATCCCCGGGAGGCCAGCCTGCCGCTGGGCTGACTCTCCTCCTTTGTCTGCCGCAGCCCGGCTCGCCCCCTCCGCCCCAGCAGTTTGCGGTCCAGCACTCTCTGTTTGGGAGCCCGGTCCCCAAGACGAAAGACCCTCCCCGCTACGAGGAAGCCATCAAGCAGACGCGCAGTGCCCAGTCTTCCCTTCCAGAGGTAAGGAGGCCGCAGCTCTGATGTGGTGGGTCCTCTTCAGCTTGAAGCCCCGGTCTAAGATGGACTTGCCTCAGGAGAGACAAGTTTCATGACTAGTAAGCCTTGCTTGCCTTTTAAATGCTATTTAAAATCAAAATACCATTCACTTTGGAGACTCCCAGCGGTTTTCAGCAGCCATATAACCTGCGGTTCTTATTTACTCAGAATTTCAGTGTTTGTTTGTCTTTAACTTCTCCTGGGGGCCAGAGGCGGGTTGTGTTAGGGATAGATGTGTGTATGTGTGACCAGGGCACGTATTTTATACAGGACCCTTTTCTAAAGCCACCATTTGTCAGGCCCGCATCAAACTGACCCTCTCCTGCCCAGATGGCCTTCCAGACTGCCCATCGCCCTCTGCTCCAGGCAGGCTCACGCTGCTCGTATTTTGAGCAGATGCACTTCGGAAGGGACAGACTGAGGCCCTCCCGGCCCCGCCATGTACCGATTCCCGCCTCGTAACCGTGCGTCCCTCTCCTCTGAGCCTGCCTTGTTGCTTTGATAAAATAGGAGGAGCCGCACCTATTCCAGAGATGGAAAAAGATAGATAGAGCTCCTGCTTGTAAAAGCACCTGGCCTCCGGTAGGCGCTGAGAACGACAGTCTCATCAGACCTTACCCTGAACGCTCCTCCTGGGCTCGCTGCCTATTTAAAGCTTAAAACTCAGCTCACTTTCAAGAAAGAACCCCGGCCTCACAAGAGGATGCAGGGAGTGAACCTGATGCCACTGCACGGGTGCTGACAGTGGAGGGAGAGGTGTGCTGATCAGAGGTAGACCTTCTGCTCTCACAGCCACAGCAGTTGCACCGGTAGAGTTGTGCTGCTTGCCTTGCTCCCACAGTCCCCATGCAACTCCCTGGGGCCTCCTCGTGCAGGGGGTTGTGCGGGGCCAAGGACTCAGCACTTCCTGTGCAAGCGGAGGCCGTGGCCACCTTGACCTATGTGGTCGCCCCAGCGAGCAGCTGCAGACACTGCTCCATGGCGGCCAGAGTGCCTGGTGTGGCACACTCACACAGGGCATGCAGGGTGCCTGGGCAGACTGCCTCCTCGAGGAAGCAGACAGTTTCCACGTGCTTCTTCGCATCCACTTACTGCCGAAGGAAGGTGACTAACTGTAAAATGTTCCTTTAGTTCCAGACTCAGCCAGGGCCCCTGTGTGTGAGGAAAAGCCACATTTCAGAAGCCAGGTTTAGAGATTGCAAAAAGAAGTGAAACCAACGGTGCTGGCCTAGGCTGTGCTCCCCTTGGTCCATCCAGAAGGAACATATCTCCAAGAAAATCCTTCCAAATCTGGCTCTCACGTATAGGTTACTCTGTACCATTTCCTTCACCAGTGTGACGACAACAGAGAATCATCTTCTCACCTTAACCTAAGAGAGCTGATTGGAATCCCTGCCCTTTGTCTGTCTCTGGTTCATGCATCTAGACTGAGGGAGTCACGTTCTGTTCGGATGGGGAGCTAGCTGTGGTTCCTCTTTATATACCACTGAGCATCAAAGTCCAGGGATGCTGGGGTTTTTAAAATACATTTACTCGGACTTCCAATTCCACTACTGGCTAATAAGTAAGGCCCTACCAGTTCAGTCTTCCCACAGATAACAGCTCTAAAGCCTGGTCATAACACAAAAAGCAGTTCTATGAAGTCATTGAAGAGTGACTAGAAAGAGTCATATTCTGATGAGTCTGCACTGAGGGGAGGGAGTTAGATGGCATGAGTTCCCTTTTTCTGCTGCTTTTACTCTGGGGTCAAGCTAAGTGGTGAGGTTACTGGTAGAAAAACCACAGCCTTTATGCCTTGGGAAACCAGAGGACTGGTTCCTTGCCTTCTGGGTTGCTCTCAACTGGGAGAGGAGATGCCCAGATTCTGTCTGCCCACATCTCTGGCCTGACCCCTAAGCCACATAGGTAGGGAGTAGAGTCGTAGCAGATCAGCTAAAGACAAAAGATCTGACCTGAGATTGGAACTTCTGCCCAAGAAACATTTTGAGGTTCAAGTCCAACCCAAGTTAACCGCCTACTAAAACAAAAGAAACCATTCATCTGAGAAAAATGACAGAATACAGTCTCCACGATTTGATATCCACGACAGCCGTTCATACGTCGGCAATGTACAAAGAATCAGGAAAATGTGACCCTTTCTCAAGGGAAAAAGGCAATCAGCTAAGACCAACCCCCAGCTGATTTGAATGTTAGAATTTGCACACACAATTTTAAAACAACTATTATAACTATCAATAATGTAAAAGAAAATATACCTGTAATGAAGGAAAAGATAAAGAATGTAAGCAGATATAGAAATGCTTTTTTTTAATGAATGGAAATTCTAAAACTGAAAATTACAGTGTCTGAAATGAAAAAAATTATAGATCTTAGCAGAATGGAGATGGCAGAGGTAAAAAAGTGAACTTGAAGAAAGATCAATAGAATTTATCCAATCTGAATAACAGAGGAAAAAAAAAAGATTTTAACTCATTATTGACCGTGGGATTTTTGCAGAAATTAATGCCCGTGGCTGACAATTTTTATTTTGGCCGGCCAAAAATTAATTCTGCTATTTCACTACCACTTCGTGGGTTATTACATTCAGTATTTACACCTGACACACCTGTAAAGTCTTCTAATTTTCATGAAATGTTGTCTTCAATCCACTCTTCTGTAGAAGCAAAGGAGCATTCTCCAGCACCGTGAGCTTCATTTTCACTTTCCATATCAGTATCGATCACTAAGGCTTTCTGTCTTTTTGTTGGTCTAGTAGTCAGATCATCTGAATCAGAACTATATTCTGAAGTGCTATGAGAACTTCTGAGACACTAGTATATGTCGCTCAGACAATCAGAAAGTATATGCATAAAATTCACTGAAAAACTCTTCACTCAAAATTTCACGATGCGTCACTTTCGAAAATTTTACATTTATAACAGACACAAGGTTGGAACAAAAACCTAACAGAGGAAGAGATGTGAATGATAAGGACAATCATAAGTTGTATAATGAACCCTTGATCAATTTTATGCTCTAACAACTTTGCACAGTGATATTAATTGTATCACTCTCTAAAAATGTATTAATACGTCTCCAGTCAATAATGTTCGGGTAACAAAAGACGTATTAATACATCTCCGGTCAATAATGTGTTAAAAAAAAAGGTGAACAGAGCCTCAGAGACCTGTTATTTAACATCAAACAGTCTAACACGGGTATGATAGGAGTCCCAGGAGACGAGAGAAAGGAATGAGGCAGGTAAAATATTTTAAGAAATACTGGTCAAATCTTTTACAAATATGATGAAAGACAAGTTTACAGCTTTGAGATGCTCAGTGAACACCAAATGGGATAAACAGAAGGCCTCATCATATCCCAGTCAAATTGCTGGAAGCCAAATTTAAAGACCAAATCTTGAAAGCATCAAGAGCAAAGCAGTACAATACACACAGGGTAACAACTACCGTTGACCCTTAACAACCACCTTTGACCCTTGAACAACACGGTTTAAACTGCACAGGTCCATTATACACAGATTTGTTTCAATAAATACATAGTACAGTACTATACAATCTGTGGTTGGCTGGAACCATGGATATGGAGGGCCAACTATGAAGTTACACATGGGGCTTCCCTGGTGGCACCGTGGTTAAGAATCCTCCTGCCAATGCAGGGGACACGGGTTCGAGCCCTGGTCCGGGAAGATCCCATATGCCACGGAGCAACTAAGCCTGTGCGCCACAACTACTGAGCCTGCGCTCTAGAGCCCACGTGCTGCAACTACTGAAGCCCACGTACCGCAACTACTGAAGCCCGCACACCTAGAACCTGTGCTCAGCAACAAGAGAAGCCACCGCAGTGAGAAGCCCGCGCACCACAACAAAGAGTAGCCCCCACTCACTGCAACTAGAGAAAGCCCACGTGCAGCAACAAAGACCCAACACAGCCAAAAATAAATTTAAAAAAATTAAGTTATACATAGATTTTCAACTGCTTGAGGGTGGTGGGCAGTGCCCCTAACCCTCATGTTGTTCAAGGGTCAACTGTATTTGATTTATGGCTGACTTTCCATCAGAAACTATGGAAGCATGAAAAGAATGGAACAACATCTTTAAAGTTCTTGTGGGGGGCTGGGGGTGGGGTCACTGTCAACCCACAATTCTATATCAAGTAAAAATATCCTTAAAGAATGAAAGTGAACTAGAGAGAATTTCAGGTGAGAAATTAAGAATTCATTACTAGAAAACCTGCATTATAAGAAATGACACTGTCTTGAGGGGCTTATAAAATATATAGCTATAATACTTAAAATAACTAATAAAGGGGCTTCCCTGGTGGCGCAGTGGTTGAGAGTCCGCCTGCCGATGCAGGGGACACGGGTTCGTGCCCTGGTCCGGGAGGATCCCACATGCCGCGGAGCGGCTGGGCCCGTGAGCCATGGCCGCTGAGCCTGCGCGTCCAGAGCCTGTGCTCTGCAACGGGAGAGGCCACAACAGTGAGAGGCCCATGTACCGGAAAAAAAAAAAAAAAAAACTAATAAGGGTGGAGGAAATAAATGGATCTTTATGTTTACCAGGGTTTCATATTTTATATGGCATGGTATATTAAGTAGCCTATGCAAAAGTTAGGGTGTATATTGTATACCTACAGTAATAACTAAAGAAGTATCACTTTTTAAAAATAGAAAAATTAAGTTAGAATTCAAAAAATCAATCTTTTTGAAGGCCAAGAAAGGAGGAACAAAACACAGGACAAATAGAAACAAATAATAAAATGGTAAATCCAAACTTAACCATATCAGTGATTATACAAGACATACTAATGAAGTAAACAATACAACTAAAATGCAGAAACTATCAGAATGGATAAAAAAATAGACCCAACTGTATGCTGTGAGGTGGTTTTAAGATACATCTGCAATGGGCTTCCCTGGTGGCGCAGTGGTTGAGAAGCCGCCTGCCGATGCAGGGGACACGGGTTCGTGCCCCGGTACGGGAAGATCCCGGTACGGGAAGATCCCACATGCCGCGGAGCGGCTGGGCCCGTGAGCCATGGCCGCTGAGCCTGCGCATCCAGAGCCTGTGCTCCACAACAGGAGAGGCCCGCGTACCGCAAAAAAAAAAAGATGCATCTGCAAATTCTTTTACATCCCTCCCTGGGGGCTGAACTTAGTGACTTGCTTCTAACATATAGAATTGGCAGAAGAGATGGTGTGTGGCTTCTGAAACTAGGTCATAAAAGCCACCCTGCTTGCGCTCTCTTGGACTACTGGCTGTGGGGAGCATGCCGTGTGGACCGTCCAGCAGCGCTCTGCAGAGGCCCATGTGAAGAGGAACTGAGGCCTCCCATCAACCACCACCACCTTGTCAGTCATGAAGTGAGTCACCTTTACAAGGACATTCTCCAGCCTTGAGATGGCTGTAACCCAGCCAGCATCTTGACTACCACATCCTATAAGACCCCACGCCAGAACTATCCATCTAAACCATTCCTAAATTCCTGACCCTCAGAAACTGTGAGAGAAAATCACTGTTTAGTGTTTTAAGCCACTAAGGTTTTTTGGACTAATTTGTAATACAGCAATAGATAACTAATATATGTATCTACAAGAGGCATACTTTAAATACAAAGACACAGGTTGAAAGTAAGTGATTGGAAAAAGATATACCATGCAAACAGTATGCATGAGAATTTCTGGAGTAAGCATAAGATTGGAACAGACATTTCATCAAAGAAGATACACAGATGACAAGTAAGCACATGAAAAGATGCTCAACATCATTACTCTTTAGGGAAATGCATATTAAAACCACAATGCAATACCACTACTCACCTGTTAGATGTCTAAAATTAAAATGACTGACCATACCAAGTGTTGACGAGAATGGAGAACAACTGGAAATATCCATTGCTGTGGAAATATAAAACAATATGATCACTTTGGAAAACAGCCATCTCTTAAGAAAGTTGAACATACACCTGCCCTATGATTCTGGCATCCCATTCCTGAATATTTACCCAAGAGAAGAGAAAGCGTTGTGTCTATACAAAGACTTGTACACAAATGTTCACAGCAACTTTGTTTGTAATAGCCAAAAAATACCAACAATCCAAACAAACTGATATTTCCATACAGTGGAATACTTCTCAGCAAGAAAAAGGAGTGAGCTGTTCCTCAGCTGTACTCTACAGCATGGCTAAATCTCAAATTTATTACGTTGAATGCAAGAAGCCTCCCCTACCCTCCCCCTGCTAAAGAAAGTACGTACTGTATGACTCCATTCATATAAAACTCTAGAAAACGTAAATTCATCTGTAATCAAGGAAAGCAGATCACTGGGTTTGCCTGGGGATGAAAGGAGCATTGCAAAAGAGCATGAGGAAACTTTAGGGGAAATGGATGTGTTCATTATCTTGATTGTGTTGATAGTTTTGTCGATGTATACATATGTCAAAACTTATCAAATTGTATACTTTACGTAAGTGTAGTTTTTTGTATGTCAGGTAACTGTCAATAAAGCTGAAAAAATATAGTATGAGCACCTTTATACATACCTTATATTTTTACATAAATGCAAATGAATAAAGACATTTTTAAAAGAAAGTGTCAGAGGCCTCTCAAAATGCAACCAGTGATAGAAAATAAGTGTATAAGTCGGCTGAGCTGGGTAAAAAAAAATCTTAGATTTTTTACAATTTTTTCACCCCATTCTCACTCTTGTCAACTTACCAGCTGTGACACATTGGGAAAATGGTGTAATGTCTCAGGTGACCTCAGCGTTTTCAAAATTATCAAATGATAGATTAGGCTAGATGTTCTGTAAGGTCCGTAAGTGCTCCCAGTTGTCTAATGCTTCCAGGTTTGTACGAAAGAAAGCTAACGTATATTCTCCTTTGTTGTAGATTTCCAATGCACACAGTCAGCAGATGGACGACCTCTTTGACATCCTTATTAAAAGCGGAGGTGGGTCAAAGTCACATCAGACCCCACAGGGGTCTTATCACAGGTTTATGCAAGTTTTCCTCTAGAGCTCACAGCGTATCTGAGTAGTGAGAAACATATTCTTCTAATTCTACCTCAGTTTACTCTTTTAAATCTGTTAAATTTAGGTGATTAAAATGAAGGAAAAGCCATTGTTTCACTATAACACAATAATTTAATAGATTTAGCAATAGATGTATGCCTGTTGATAGACTACCTCAAAATAGCTCAGGAGAACCAGATTTAAAGACCACATTGAAAAACTTCAGAATTACTCCACGTAAATGTTGTTGTGATGGGATGAAAATTCATTGTGCATGTTTCATAAAACCTAGTTACCTAGCTTGGGCTCTAGTAACTTCCTTAAAATTCAAAGGCAAGCACTTTCTACATATGATTGAAAATCTTAGATTTTTACAATTTGTCATCTTAAAAAGGGATAAGGGACATTAACCACAAAAAAAAAAAAAATCAAGGATCTCTCTGCCTCAGCTTACATATCTTTAAAAATAAGTATGAAATCAGTATTTCAAAACTTCAAATGCTGTTTTGGAATATTTTTAAAGTATTATCAAATTACCTTGGTGAAAGAGTTTTATTCAGGTTTTTAAAGTGATCAAAATTTCTCCATTCATAGCAGGTTCTATTCGATTTTGAGGTTAATGATTTTGTCGTAATGTTTGACAAACACAGAAAATTCTTCATATTGACTATAGACCTACATGTGCTGATGTATATCTAAACTATGGAAATTAAATAAATAGATATACCATGGCCTGAATTTAAGGTTAAAAAATAATAATAAAATGCTTTTTGCCAAATCTGGTGAAAATACTTTTGGAAATGATTAAAAAGAATAATGTTTACAGCCTAAACTTGGAAATTAAAATATGACAAAGTCACAGTAACAAAATAACAATTGAGTTATTTTCTAAAAGGGATGATTTTTTATGGCAAAGTATCCAATGAGTATGTTATTTTATCTTATTGTATACTAATACCAGTAATAATGAGAAAGAAATTTAAATAGTCGATTGTAAAACTAATTATTTAGATTGCACTTTCAGCTTTCAAAACAATTCTAGAGATGACAACAGGTAATGAAGAGCAGCATAACTGTCCTAAAACACAGGCAGTGCCCACAGTGTACAGTTCACATATAGCAATCAGGTTGTAAGTTCTTTCTCTCACTTATTTATGCATCCCAGTCACTGAATTGTAAGAGCGATTATTAAATACGTTTCCTAGTGTATCTACATATAAATGAAACCAGTCAAATACTCATAAGAAAGTGAAAAGGATATTTTATTCAAATATATGTAGCTAAGTGAACACTGGTATCTATAGCAGATGGTCCGTTAATTTGCTACTTGATCTGGCAAGGAATAACACGTAATTAATGCTTATTAAGACATTTACCAAATCCTCAAGATTTTATATGAGCTCAGAAAATGAGACAAAGAAAAGAAAAATAAGGTAATCCACCTCATCTTGGAAAAGATGTGTTAGCTTTAACTCAGAAATGACATGAGAACATTGTATCTTTTAAGGACTTTATATAGAATGTAAATGGCTAAATTCAGCACACAGTTCAACTATAATGATAAAAAAAAGAATATAATTAGAGCTTTCATAATATTAAGGATGTACTTCGTGCCTGTACAAACTCAGGGTATCCACTTTGACATTCACTGTAAGGGTGGTGTGCCGCTGTAATAGCAGATTCAAGGTAGAGGGTAAGACAGGAGCCTGTCTTCAGCCTGGAATGACTGAGAATAAGAAAAGGATCAAATAATCTAAAACCATCGGTTCCCACCTGGTGGTAGAGACTGCTTTTAACGCTTACTCTTACTAAAAAGAATGGAAAGCATATCAGAATGTTATCAGCTTAAATGTTTTATCTATTTAACTAAAATATCCATCATCCTAAAGGTTATCCAGGACTGTACCTGACCAACAGCATCCTCTTCCTAACTCTGAGATGGACTGTGTATAAGTCAGCACAAAAATACAAAATAATTGCCCTGGTAGTTAATAAAAAAACGTTTAAATGGTACTAAATCATTATTAATTATTTCAATTATTTTGCAGAGATTTCCCTCCCTATAAAAGAAGAACCTTCTCCTATTTCCAAAATGAGACCAGTGACAGCCAGCATCACCACAATGCCAGTCAGCACAGTGGTGTCCCGGCCACCACCCCAAGTCCAAATGGCACCACCCATATCCTTAGAACCTATGAGCAGTTTATCTGCCAGCTTAGAGAACCAACTAGAAGCTTTCTTGGATGGCACTTTGCCTTCAGCCAGTGAAATTGCTCCACTGCAAAGCAGCAGCGAGGACAGGGAACCCTTCTCCCTGATAGAGGATCTCCAGAACGACCTGCTGAGTCACTCAGGCGTGCTGGACCACTCACACTCACCCATGGAAACTTCCGAGGCCCAGTTTGCTGCGAGTACTCCCTGCCTGTCCCTTGACCTTTCTGACTCGAACCTGGACAACATGGAGTGGTTAGACATTACCATGCCCGGCACGTCATCGGGACTCACTCCTCTCAGCGCCACTGCTCCGAGCATGTTCTCTGCCGACTTCCTAGACCCACAGGACCTACCACTGCCATGGGACTAACAGCACAGATTTCTCATCCCAGATTCCATGAGAGTCAAGAAGATGAAGATGATTGGAGAAGGTCAGTTTTTAGAGACAGATCCATAGTTGCATCATTGCAATTATAATATGTTGTCACAGAAAGAACGGAGGGATGGTCAGAGGCTGGAAACCAAGTTTGAAAACGTTTCATTGCATCCAGCAGTGAATGTCTACGATTTAATATAGCACAGAGCCTTCTGAAAAAACACTACTCCAAGAAGACTTATCTGTTTCTCCAGACTTCAGTAAAGAATAAAAGGTACCTTTAGATAAAAACATGAAGCAGAGTAATGTGTGCAGGGCGGTGATACCAGGGCCTCTGGTCATCAGCTACATTTAAACCTCTGTGGTCACTTTGAGACCCTAAATAAAAGGCAAACGGCTCCACTCAAAAAGAAGGGAGGTGAGAGACCACTGCACAGGGTATTTCCTAGAAATGGCCTGAGCCCAGCCCAAGATGCAGCAGGGGTCAAGGGCAGTGGTCAGCACCAGCCAGTTCAGTGACAGCTTCCCACTGAAGACTTTTTGGTTCCATTCAGAAACCAATGTAATTTTTTTGTGTGTTATAGTTTATTTTGTGATTTTTGGGAATCTTACTTTAGATCTCCAAATTTAAATTGAAATGGAAGATCTTCCACCATAACCAGACAGTGTCTACAAAAGACTGTCATAAACAATCCACTGTAAGAAGTCAGGTGTACTGATAACACTGAAAATTCTATTTGCAGCCCTCTGGGTTGATTAGGTTGATTTTAATGTGTATCTTAGACATCTGTACGTGTGCTCTGACATTGTGATGTGTACAGCCTACACTGGAGTAAGGCATTAGGTACCCAGTGGTCCTACTTCTTGTAATAACTCAAATATTTCTGGAGTACTTGAGCCACATGTATTTCCGTATTTAAAGAATTGCTGACTAACTTTCAGGTAACCAGACCCATCTCAAAGAACCATGAAAAGGCTTTAGCATAAAATATATTTCTGAGCTGGTGAGTTGCAAAGAAGGCAAGGGAGAAGTCTATCATCAACCTAGGACATTCCTACAACGGTTACAGGTGAGACAGTGTCGCCAGGTTGGCCAGTGGACCCAGCCCTGGCCATCCTCTTCTCTGTCTCTTATCCCTGGTTACTGTTTTACAGGCTTGTAACTGGATGTCATACCTGAGCTCTCACTATATCATCAAGCTGAAGATTGAAAAACTGGAGGTTTTATTAGTTTTTTATATAGAAAAAAGATTTGTTGAGTAGTTTCATAATTTTCTAATATGCCAACTATCACAGGATTTCCAAGATTATTTCAATCAAGCTAGTCATTTAAGTAAGTATATGATAAAATATAAATAACTGAAAAAAACCCCACCTGAAATCTACCCCAAAGTGTGGAGGTTTTTATTACATAACATCATTGTGCTCTCCACCTCACCTTGTATAAACCCTACGTATGGTCAGGTTTTTTCCCTGGGCTGTTAAATGGTGAAAGTTGCCTCTTGCAAGTCACTGTGGGAACCTGACCCACTACTTGGAAACAGTCTGTGAATCATTTCTGGGTTTGTGTTTTGCCTAAGAACTGATCTTACTGTATATTTTTATTTCAGTTTGTAAATTTTACTACATGTAAGAAAAGTCCACTTTCCCAGTATTCAGTTGCCCACAGCCCTCGAGCCCTCAGTTGAAAGCCCTCCCAACTGGAAAGTGCTTCTGGATGATTCAAGCAGAGGCAGTCATGCACAGTGTGGTCTGCAGTAGGTACTTCGAGTGTTTAGCAATTGGTAATCCAACATGTGGGAGCCAGTAACCGTTAACCACAGCGCCGCCATCTGACCAAGCCCAATGGGACAGTTAACGTCCTGGGCATGACGTGCATCTCGAGTCAGTTCCTTTCAGAGGCCCTGTGGCCAGGGGCAGGGCTGTTGACCCGGGGAGGTACTTTTCTTAGGGGAAGTCTGGGCCCTGGGTTTTTGTCTGGGGCCAGGGGCAGGGCTTTTGACCCGGGGAGGTACTTTTCTTAGGGGAAGTCTGGGCCCTGGGTTTTTGTCTGGGACTTATGTGGTCCACACTTAGACTCCAAGCATCATCTTCATTCAGATTTAAATGGCTTATTAAATTAGCACCAAATATCAGTGAGTCAGCAGGAGGCAACTGAACAGCTAGTGGTGCTGGCTCTTGTTGAGTAACTTTCTGTTTCCATCATCCCGAGTTGTGTACATAGATTGTTCTCTAGCCCTCAGCTCCCCTCGTTGCTTTTTTAAAATAGATTTGAAACATGCCACAGGAAGGTTGCTCTCCAAAAATACACACTGCATTGCAAAGAATGCCATCTCATGAGCCTGGTCTCTCGACTACAAATTGCTGAAGTGCCCACTTCACATGTGTGTTCAGACCTTCACGTACCAGCATTTCCTTTAAAGGCAGGCAAGGGGCCTCTAGTACTGACTCTACCAGCCACCTACTCGCGGCATTCCACCCGGCCCTCCGTCCTGGTTTGAGCAGCCAGCCTGGGCCTCTGTGACGCCAGTGCTGCTCACCAGGGCCTCAGCTAACGTTCCAGGTTAGAGCAAGGACACAGACCGTGCGCAGCGTGTGACGTGACCAAAGGTGACATTCTGTGATCACAGCCCCTCTGCCCTAACTCAGTGAACGTGATGGTAAGCGCAATGGGAAAGGCGTGTGTTTACCAAAGAAGACGGTCTTGGGTTTGAGGTGAGCTTCACAGCCCTTTAAACAGAGGGCAGAAGCACTGGTTGGATGTTCAAGTGTGTGGTTTAGAAGTGGTGCTGTTGTGTACCATCCTGCAGAGCAGCATACTGCCAAGCAGAAAACCAACTCCTAGAAACATGATCTCATATCCAGTCTTATTTCCTAAATATTCCTGAAACACAGTAGTATCAAGCTTACCCTGCTAGTGTATATAGGTATCAGGTCTTGTCATTAAGGACGGGAGGAATAGAAAGTTACACCGAAGCTTCAGGCATATGTGGTCATCTTGTACGTTTCAGCAAAGCATGTACTAGGAAACCTCTTAGGACAGTGTGAGTGGTTCACGTTCTAGTGTTTTTCCTGAAATGTGCAATCTACTGTATAGTATCTGCCACATATTTGTACATAGATGTAGTCTGAATTCATGGAACTTCTTGCTCAGATACTATTTGTGTTTGTTTTATATGAATATTTTTATGGCACAAAAAAAGATCTTACTTAAAATTTCCTTTTTACAAACTGCACGGTTGTGTGAGCCATGGAAGTGCCATTTCAGAATCGTGGCAAAGGCAGTGTGGTGTTGCCCCCCAAGCTGCCACCTGTAGAGGGCACCGTCACAAGCTGTGCAGCCGGTGGACCCCGAGTGATGATGGATCAGGAGTGTTACCCATTTTGTCACCAAAGCTGACTTAGGCTTCCTCTACCCCAGATCAACCCCAGATCATTCCAGGCCACACAGCTTTCTCCAGAGTCCTTTCACAATTCCCAAGCTGAAACCAGCCACAACAGTGCCGGGACCGTCCCTTTACTGTCCACAAACAGCCTTTGGCCGTGTTTGCGCCACACCCTCATGCTGTTTCTGGGGCCCATCTGGTGGCTCCTGCCATGAGCCAGGTGGAGGGTGGCAGCCAGGGGCTGTTTCAAGAACTTCCAAGAGACTAGCTGTCAGTGTCCACCAGCAGAGCCACCCGGGTCTCCACAGCAGGTTCGCAAATAGCCCTCTGCGTGTCGCCATCCGTCACCACCACATCAGTCCCGACCACTGGCACCAGAGCAGGACACCAGGCAAAGTGTCCCCTGCCTGGAGGCCACAAAATTAGCCCACACTCTCAACACTAACTGGAAGGTCAGGGTTATCAAAGGAACACAGCTCACAAGTGCAGAAATGTGTATTTGGAGAGCATCCTAACTGCATTTCAGCGCATCTTTTAAGTGGTTTCAGTCAAAACTGGAAAATAACAATTAATATGTAGTCATTCTTCTTCCTGGTTCAAACCTTTGATAACTTGCTCATTCAGCGATGTTTCTGAGCTACGTTTTTGTGAAGTGACTGCATGGCAATAAGCAGGTCTATGTTTGTCCCCATTCACCCTTTCTTGCAGTATTTGAGGAAATGCATCATTGCAAAGGGTTTCTGCCTGAAATCTCTGATTTGAGGCCTGTAATTCAAAAAGCTGCACATGTTTACAAAAGAGCTCTTCCCCTCCATGCAAACACGTTGCTCTGTGAATCATTGGAAAATGTCACGATTCTGTGACAAGAGAATGGCAATCTCGGATCTGCAAGGTGCTGTCTGGAATCAAATAAAACATGTCATTGGCGATCTCAACACAGCTGTCGTGTTCAACAGAGCTTTGTGCCAACTACTAAGACAAAGCTTTAACCAAGTTCATAGAATCACCGAGACTCATAACGATTACCTCTCCACATTATGCTGTAAGGAAACTTGATGATTTAGGAGGAGGAGGAAGCATTTAGGAAAGGGTTTAGTTGCTACCAAAAGCACTTAACCTCGAAAAACTAATAGTAATGCAAACTTGCTTCAATGGAACCAAAGGCATTGCCAAGTATTTGCCAAAAGGAGGCACTTTTTATTTAAAATTTGAGACTAATGAGATCTCAAAAATCAGTCCCAAAAAGGTATTATCCATTTAAGGTTATAATTTTCACAAAGATGTAGATATTTCTCTATTGTTTTCATGTAAAATAGTATAGATTTGTTTTGTTGGGTTAAGAATAATACGTATTTAGCAGTAATACAGAGTTTTTTCCTTTCTACGTACAAATTAGTTTTCTTCTCTTGCTTGCAATAGAAATACGATGTGATAGGTGTTTCTCTTCTTATTTTCATTGTCACATTATGTCTTAGCATCTCACTCTATGAAAAAAAGGAGAAAGATACCAATCTGCAGAGCCCTGCTTATCAAAGCACTAGTTTAATAAAAAACTATGGCAATTGGGGGTCCATTCATGTATTGCCTTTATGTTGTTTTTTAAAAGAAAAACCATGATGCCTTTGTATTTGCTGTTTGCACCCCTGAAATCAATTCCATATCATGTTTGAATGCCATACATTTTGCACATGTACTGTACATAGGTAATGCATACTGTATTTTTATATGTGTGCACATTTATCATCAGATCTTTTGTACATAGTGGCCGTATTGTAGCTGATCGGGAAATGTTTGATATCTCAGCAATTTTGCATTTTTGTGTCTCAAATAAAAACATTTTGATGTACTATGATTCTTACTATGCAGAGGAAAGACCACATGCTATGGGTCAGGAGAGCTGAGGGGGACAGGTGGGGAGGAGACACTGCCTTCAGAGCAAGCCTTACAGCAGTCACCAGACACAACAAGCGGGCGTGCTGAGGCAGGTTTTGTGGATCACACATCCAGTGCACACATCCCCTCGCCCAGGTCCAGGATCGTGGGATACAAAATAGAAACAGGTACCTAGCTGAACTTGACCATGACAAGATTTGACACCAAAACCGTGTGCATTCTCCCACAATCATAAGGAAACCCCGAATGAGAGACGTGGCGAAGGCTGTGGTCCCCCGGGGGTGGGTGTGTACACACATGCGTGGGGAAAACTGGCTCTCACTTTGACAGTAATAAATGAGCCACCAACACGATTCCCAAAAGACCCGGGTAATCATTCAGTTCAGCCACATTTCAGAAGCAACTATTTCTATGAGGTGCTTTTATAGACCTAAAGAAATGGTCTTTAGAATTCAGTTTATTTTAGTAAGATGGCATTTGATTTTCAACCCAGAAGCCCATGGTTAAAATAGAGTTTTGATGACATAAAACAGTAATGGGTAAACCTGACTAACAGCCCAAACTTTCATATCAATATCTGACTATGAAAGTGGGTGTCATATCACCCTCAGAGAGGGAGAAAAGAGAGATCACTGGTTGCCTAAATACAACAAAATGTTCATTATCCGCTACCTTTAGGGACCAAGGGAGCAGCCTCAACAGACCAGTAAGTAGACGATGCTTCCAACAGACTAAGACATTTGTAACATCACATGTTACCAGCCAAGATCCTCCCCTCGGGGAGAGAAAATCATGTCCGAGGGAACAGAGGCAGTGCCCCAGGCAGTCCCAGGAATGAGCAAGGGACAGAGCTGGGAGCTTTAGGGAAGGTGCTGGAAGAGATGTGTTAGGACGTGTAAAGGACATTCCAAACAGAGAAAAACCACTTGGGTGAGGTCAGAGTAAAGAAAGAGATTTTGGCTGAGGCCCTGCTCTGTGCCAGGCCGAGGGCTAGATGCCGGAGTTGGGCTGAAGGACAGAATCTGGCCAAGAAGTGCTGGGAAACAAAGTCTGGAAGGGTTGACAGCAGAGCATTTAAGAAACCCAGACCTCAAGGGGCTTAAGACTCTTCTGGAGATAGTTCTGTTTTCTTTGGGTAATACAGGCCTTCGAAAGCCTTTTAGATAGTGGACACAGTCATCATTTAGCACCTTTGTAACCCTCTGCAGCACACCTGCTCTAGAGTCGACAGGACTACAAAAGCACTTGTAAACACAGACACACCCACACACTTCGTGATGGCTGGAAAGGAATGACACCTAGGAAAGACCCGCTTCAGGACAGATGTAAACTACATGTCACCAACAATTTTATGTGCCACATAATCCTCTTGAAGATTTCCCAAGTCACCTAACGACCATTCCTTTGCCCCTCCTTCCACAAATAGCTTAGCTTCCCTTTCTGATGGATATTAACTTTCAGAAAGAAACCCCATTTGGACATCCGCATCCTGGCTATCTCTTCTGCTAATTTTTATGACAAGTTATTAAAACTAAACCCACAATGTATACTTAGACAAAAAACGAGGCCACTAATCAACTGACTGCCCCTGGTGGATATGACCGTGTGACAGATCATTCCAGGAGGAAGCTGCTGACATGGCCCTATGGGCGGTAACCACAGTGCGTACTCACCCTTCTCCCCACGTCCCTGGTACACAGCGCCAAGGCACAGGAATGCAAGTGGAGACGGGTTAATAGAAACAGCAGCAAATGTAGTAGATGCTGCTAAATGCCAGGCCCTGTGCCAAATACTTTATGTATAAAACCCTCGTTTAGTAAGTCTACGAGCAAGGAACTCTTCCTATCCCCATTTAATAGATGTGGCAACTAAGGACAGAGAAGGAAAATGTCTTGCCCGAAATTACAAAGAAAGCAGAGTGTGGATTTGAGACCAAGCTTCTGACATCCCAGAGCCCAGATCATTTCTGTAGACTCGGTACATTCACTCTAACGTCTTTGTTCAGATACATGACAAAACCAATTGATTATAGCAGACTTAGTTCATGTCAATCATGAGGTTCACCCCAACTGGGCATCTCTCAAGTCTCCTCAATCTCACACATTTTACAAAGTAGCTACTCACATGGATGGTTAACAGCATCCACAGTACGGCTTGTACTAGGTTAACTCCAACCAGAACCTGGGTTACAAGACAGGGGCATTTTAAGTGAAGCCCACAGGTGGGGCCACACACAATGACTCACAAAACTGCCTACTTGGGCTGGGTACCTGGAGCCACTTGAGCACACCTCAAAACCCAGCATTCATAGAGCAATTTTACAATATCTAGTAAAGTTGAAGATACAAACTCTGCAACTCAACTTTTTTGATACTCATCCTTGAGAAACACATGCCCACAGGCAATCACGTGCAAGAATTAACACGAAAGCATAGTTTACAAAGCAAACACTGAAAACGACCTGTATGCCTTTCATTTTGCGAACATTTAAACATAGCAATTTACACAAATGAACTAAATCTAATGTGCCAATGTAAATCAATCTCAAAATAAAATCAATCTCAAAATAAAATAATATTCTCTATATAATAACATGTCATCTGCAAATAGTGACAGTTGTACTTCTTCCTTTCCAATTTAGATGACTTTTTTTTTTTTTTTTTTGCACAGTATGCAGGCCTCTCACTGTTGTGGCCTCTCCCGAGCACAGGCTCCGGACGCGCAGGCTCAGCGACCATGGCGCACGGGCCCAGCTGCTCTGCGGCATGTGGGATCTTCCCAGACCAGGGCACGAACCCGTGTCCCCTGCATCGGCAGGCGGACTCTCAACCAGTGTGCCACCAGTGAAGCCCTCTCCCTATTCTTTTCTGTGAGTTGGAAATAGTTCCTATTTAAAAAAAAAGGACTTCCCTGGCAGTCCAGTGGTTAAGACTGCACTTCCGCTCTAGGGGGTGCAGGTTCAAACACTGGTCACGGAACAAGGACCCTGCATGCCATATGGCGCGGCCAAAATAAAAAAAAACCTTAAAAAGAAAAAGAATTACACAGGAATACATTGAACAACTGCATGCCAACAAATTAGTTAACTTAGATAAAATACACAAATTCCTACACAGACACAAACTACCAAAAATTAACTCAAGAAGAAAGAAAAGCTGAAAGCTTTTCCTTTAAGATGAGGAACAAGACAAGGATGCCCACTCTTACCACTTACTCAACATAGCACTGGAAGTCCTAGCCAGAGAAATTAGGCAAGAAAAAGAAATAAAAGTCATCTAGGGGCTTCCCTGGTGGCGCAGTGGTTGAGAGTCCACCTGCCGGTGCAGGGGACACGGGTTCATGCCCCTGTCCGGGAGGATCCCACGTGCCACGGAGTGGCTGGGCCCGTGAGCCATGGCCACTGAGCCTGCGCGTTCGGAGGCTGTGCTCTGCAACGGGAGAGGCCACAACAGTGAGAGGCCTGCATACTGTGCAAAAAAAAAAAAAAAAGTCATCTAAATTGGAAAGGAAGAAGTACAACTGTCACTATTTGCAGGTGACATGTTATTATATAGAGAATACCCTAAAGAGTCCACCAAAAAGTATTAGAACTAATAAATTCAGTAAAGTTGCAGGATATAAAATTAATATACAAAAATATGTTGCATTTCTCTACACCAATAATGAACTATGAGAAAGAGAATTAAGAAAATAATCCTGTTTAGAATTTCATGAAAAAGAATAAAATAATGGGTTGGCCAAAAAGTTCGTTCTGTAAGGTGTTACGGAAAAACCCGAACGAACTTTTTGGCCAGCCTAATACTTCGGAATAAATTTAATAAATTTAACTACGCCCATGCACCACAACTACTGAGCCCGCGTGCTGCAACTACTGAAGCCCGTGTGCCTAAAGACCATGCTCCGCAACAAGAGAAGCCACCACAATGAAAAGCCCGCACACAGCAACAAAAAGTAGCCCCCGCTCGCCACAACTAGAGAAAGCCCATGAGCAGCAACAGACCCAACGCAGCTAAAAATAAATAAAATTTTAAAAATAAACAAATTTAACCAAGGAGGTGAGAGATCTGTATACTGAAAACTATAAGACACTGATGAAAGAAACTGAAGACACAAATAAATGGAAAGATATTCCATGCTCATGGACTTGAAGAATTAATATTGTTAAAATGTCCATACTACCCAAAGCAATCTACAGGTACAATTCCGATCAAAATTCCAATAGCATTTTTCATGGAAATAGGACAAACAATCCTCAAATTTATATGGAACCACAAAAGATCTCCAAATAGCAAAGCAATTTTGAGAGAGAACAACAAATCTGGAAGCACATCACATTTCCTGTTTTCAAACTATACTCCAAAGCTATAGTAATCCAAACAGTATGGTATTGGCATAGAAACAGATACATAGGGGAGTTTCTGGTGGCCTAGTGGTTAGAATTATGGGCTTTCACTGCCACAGCCCTAGTTCAATCCCTGGTCAGGGAACTGAGATCCCACAAGCTGTGCAACATAGCCAAACAACAACAACAAAACACAGACACAGATCAATGGAACAGAATAGAAAGCCCAGAAATAAACCCACACATATATGGTCAACTAATCTATGACAAAAGAGCCAAGAATATACAGTGGGGGGAAAGACAGTGTCTTCAATAAATGTTACAGGAAAAACTCAATATCCACATGCACAAGAATGAAATTGGACCCTCACCTCATCTGGCACCACACACAAAAATTAACTCAAAAGGGATTAAAGCCTTAAATGTAAGTCCTGAAACCGTAAAACTCCAAGAAGAAAACAGAGGAAAAGCTCCTTGACATGGGCCTTGGCAATGACTTTTTAGATCTACCAAAAGCACAGGAAACAAAAGCAAAAATAAACAAGTGGAACTCCATCAAACTAAAAACCTTCTGCACAGCAAAGGAAACAATCAAAAAAATGAAAAGGCAAC